GGTTTGAGAAGGGGCGTCTCACATTTTCTCCTTCCCATCAAGGAAAGGCATTCCAGCAAGGAGAATTTCTTCCCCAAGGACAGGGTGAGCCAGGAAGGACAGGTTAGTTCTGGACAACACCCTGCGGGGATGATAGAAAGTAAAGTCCAAAATAGAGCCCCAGGGAACTGGGGCCTGGAGGCCAGAGTGTCTGCTGTTGACATGGAGTGAGCAGGTGAGGACACACAAACAGAGGAAGCCTGTGATGAGAAGAATTGAGAGGGCATGGCCCCCAGAACCAAGGGGTGAGAGGGGCCCTGAGTATGGGGACAAGACCAGGAAGTTACTTCTTAAGAATTTAAAACATCAAGGCACTGCACACAGAAGAGGTGGGGACAGGGCCCGTCCTGCTACGTGGGGCTCTGATCACTACTTCCTGGCAGAACAAATGCCTCTGGGTGAGCAGGAAACAGCCCTGTAGAGGTGTGACTAAGAGGAGGAGGAAATGTGCTTTGTAAACTGCAGAATTCTCTACAGGTGTTTGTTTGCTCTTTCTTCTTCCGGTGTTCAGTTGGTAAGACAGGTGCAACAAAGAAACAGAAAAGCCAGTGCTGAGGCCTGGAGTTAGAAAGAATTGTTGACTGTGGGGGTGGGGGAGTGTGGATGTGGATTCTTGGAACAAAACTCAGCTCAAACACCCCCAACCCCCACCCCATTTGTCGACAGACTCAGCGTGGGAGCCATTAATTGCCTCAGGCCTCATTTAGATCCCTACCAGGCCTTGCCTAGCCCCTAGGGAAGGCCTGGAACAAGGAAGTTATTTTATCAGGTGGGAAACACCTGTTTTATTCATTTTTTTATTCATTCAACTAGTGTTTATTGGATACCTATTGTGTGCCAGGTCCTGTAATAAAAAGTGTGATTATAACTGTGCTAAGCACCATAAAAGAGATGTACACAGTGCCAGGAGGGCCTATAATCGGGATGTATTAGATATGTAATCAGTAACTGTATACAAGGGCCTATCACCAGGATAACAGAACTGGTAAATCTGAGGAAGAGTCGATAACGAAGCTGAGCTCCGAAGGATGAGTGGACATGAATCAGGTAAACGGGAATCGGGGACAGTCTGTGCAAAGACCCTGCGAAGAGACCGAAAGGAGCTTGCCTGTTGCTCAGGTTTCACCGCATAACAAGTTACTACAAAGCTCAGGGGCTAAAAACAACAAATGCTTTTTTTAACCCACAATTTTGTGGGCCATACACTTGGCTGGGTTCAGCCAGGGAGTTCCAACAGGCGAGGCGACGTGCGGCTGAGCTCGGCAGAGGCTCCCTGTGCGTCCGGGCCTGCTGGCTGACCGGACCGCTGGCTGGGCTCTTTGGTTCTTCACCTCACGGCCTGTCGTCCTCCAGCAAACCACCCTGGCTTCCTTCCCATGGAAGTTAAAGGCTTCCGCAGAGCAGCCAGGAAAGCCAACTTCCAAAGCTCAGGTACTTTTCACGTGTCTGCATCCGTCCCACTTGCTATCATAGCATTGCCCAAAGCAGGGCCCATGGCTAAGCCCAGAGTCAAGTGTGAACAAATGGGGGGGGGGGGGGGTAGGGACGGGGGTTGTAACTGCAATAATCTACCTCTACGTGTTCAAGGAATTGAAAGAAAGCAGGGCCCTGTCTGGGTAGCTCAGTTGGTTAGAGCATCATCCTAATACACCAAGGTTTTGGGTTTGATCCCTGGTCAAAGAAATCAATCCGTGTATGCATAAATAAGTGAAACAAATTGATATCTCTCTCTCCCTTAAAATAAATAAATAGTTTAAGTTATTTAAAAAAAAGAAAGAAAGTGGGAAAACTAGAGAGTGGCGAGTAAAGGGGAGCATGGCGCAGGTGGAAGTAGAGGTGGGCAAGAGCCAGGATGTGCAGGCCTCTGAGGCCATGCTAAGAGTTTGTTCTTTATCCTAAGAGCAGGCAAGCTCTCTGGTTTCTGATTTTCTGTCTCGTGGGTTTGGTCAGCATTAATAAATCCCTTGAAGGCTGAACTGGGCAAACTAGTAAAATGGACTTTCTAAGCTTCAGAAGCTGAGGACAGGATGTGGGGCATGGCCTATCCCACACATCCCTGCCCACAGCCCACAGACGTAAGTGCCCCATACCTTCCCACCTCTGTGCCTTGGCACCTGCTTGTCCCTCGGCTGGGAACAATCTTCTCACACCCTATGTAGGGCCAGTTCCTACCTCCCCAGACTCAATTCAGGTGCTCCACCTCAGAGAAACCCTCCCTGACTTCTCTAAGCCCCAAGACCAGCGACATGTCAAATGATACCATGAGGCCTAGGAAATAAGCCTGTGACTCACAGTGGCCCTGTGGTTTGTAAAACCAAATTGGTGCAAGACCCAGCCCTGCCCGTGTGGCACATACCCGTGGGCACAGTGCTTTGCCCATCCTGTAACCATCTGTTTATGTTTACCCCCCAAGAGACTATCTTTCTTGAAGGAGTGCCCATGAACCCAGGGCCTGCACTCAGAAGCATCAGAAGTACTTGGATTTATTTATTTGTTTGTTTGTTTGTTTGTCACTAAACAGGACTTTCCTCTGAAAGCCCCAGTCAGTGTTATTAAAGTCTTTGGCCACGGCAGTTGAGGGTAGGGTTCTTTCCAATGAGGCCAGGAGCTCCAGTGTCTCCCAGGTTCCACACAAAGCCACCCACTCAGAGGAGAGAAGACTCCTGGCTCTGGGACAATCCAAGGCAGGGCAGTGGGAGAGTAAAGAGAAGGGAGCTCCTGGGGATACAGGTGCCACAACATCATTTACTTTTACGGGGTGAGAGCCAACCTGCAGTGGCCTCCGCCAGAGCAGGTGTTCCCTGGGTCCTAGAACAGCTGACCAGGGGCACTGATAGAGGCATTTATGCCATGAAGCCAATTTATAGGTTGACTCGCTCACTACAAGCTGGAGAAGCAGCCCCTGTGAACCAGGGGCTGAGAAGTGGGCACAAAAAGTGGGCCCTGCCCACAAGTCTTAACAGAGATGTTTCCACATGGCTTTCTGGTCTTAGACCTGAGGGTTTAAATCATACTGTCTCCCATTTACAGAAAAAAAAACCCCTGAAGCCCAGGGAGATAAGTGACCCATTGGCCACTTTAACAGTCATGACCACACAGATAAGACTACATTTCCCAGCTTTCCTTGCAGCTAAATGTGACATGACCAGGTTCTAGCCAATGAGACATGAGTGGATGTAACGTCTCTAACTCTGGGGTTTTGCTCACAAAAGACAGAGGCGGGCCTCGTTTTATTCCTTACCCCTGCCTGGTGAGCCATCTTGGACCAAATAGCCAAGGGCAACATGTAAGAACGATGAAGCAGCAACAGCATGGGAAGAACCAGGATCCCTGATATCTGGGCACACAACTTGGCACACACTGCCAACTGAGAATGAAACAAACTAGCCTACCTTGATTAAGCTCTTATTGAAGGTATTTGCTAGATTGGCTGAATCTGTATCCTTCTGACTCATAATATAGTCCAGGGCCAGGTTTCCTCAGGAAACTCTGGACCACTGGGGCTGCCTAATCCCAGGCACCCTTATTGTACAAGGACAACAGAGCTGTGACCTCCACCTCAGGAACCAGCTGTTTTCTTGGAATGAGAGTCGGGAAATCTGCTTGGAGGAAACTGCTAGATTGCCAAGGATGGGAAGGGAAATGAGCACATCTGATACCCCACCAATGTAGACCCCAGTCCACCTGCACTAGTTGAAGTACTGAAATATTTCCAGATGATAAGAAGTCACTGCCCTGACCCAACCCATCCCTCAAATGTTCCCCCTCCCCCACTATCTTTGTCCCAGGTCCAGCAATTAAAGGAGTAACGTGTGGCACAGGAAGGTCACCAGGACCTCCTTCCTGACCTCTGGACATTGTTTCAGCAAGCCATACTGCTTATTAAATGTTTTGAGTATCGCCCCTGGATGTAAGTTGCCTGACCTCAACTGCCTGAATGGAAACAGAACCCTGAACTCAGGGTGGAGGGCGGTAAGGACGACATGAGTTCTGAAAGCCATAGACTGGCTATTGAATCCCACCCTCCACCTCCTTTTCTCCTGCCCAAAGCCAGGAACGCCCAGACCCCGCTGAGGCCTGCCCTCGCCCGTGCAGAATGTCCCACAATCACACCCTGGTATTATTGCACTCTTTTATTTACAGAAAACACAGATAAAGCATTTCAATGTTCATTTAGCAAACTGATCAACTTTTTTTTTTCTTTTTGGCACAAAGAAGTATCACAGATGGACCCCTAAGATCAATCAGAAACCCATAAGATTTATCAGTCATTACTGGTCCAGGGGCAGCCACGAGACTCAGACAGAGAGACAGACAGCATCGCCACAGCCTGGAAAAAATAAACAAGGTCCACATTCACCTCACAGTAAAAACCTGCTCACCGACAGGCAAGGGTGGGCAGGAGGGGCAGTTTCTATGCTCCAAAGGGGGCAGAGGGCATTGGGGGCAGGAAGCAGGGTGAGGAGGGATAGACACCATTCATAAATTAGAGGGCGGTGGCCTTTTTTTTAACCTCTTACCTTGTAGAAGTCAGACAGGGCCAAAGCTACCATACCCTGACCACTCGTCCGTCCAAAGAGCTTCGCAAGTTGTGTGGTTGGAGGTGTCTCCCCTTGTGTGCGCCTGTGTGCGTGTGCACATAGGTGAATGTGTGAGTGTGGTGCCTGTAAACATTGTCACCATCCACACAGAGACCCAACGTCCGTGTGTCTGAATGGGGTGGGGTGGGGGCTGTGCCCCACTTCACTCCCCCTCTGCCCCAGTGATTCCTGTCCAAGACATAGTGCAAATTTCAGAGACAAAAGGGGCAGAAGGAAGTGTAGGGAGGGTGGGTGTGGGGGGTGGCAGAAGGACACAAAGACAGTGTGGGAGAGGGAGGGGGAAATAAGGCAACAGTTAAAAACGGTCCCTTTTATCAAAACCGACACCGTGTGCCCCTCACCCCACCCACGGAGCCCTCGTCACAAGAAAGGGCGGAAGTCTCGCTCCTCCACCAGGCTGACGGAGGGGTTCTTGAGCTCCTCCTCCGAGCTGGCCATCTTGTAGCCCAGCTGCGCCAGCACCCTCTGACAGGCGTTCTGGGCGAAGGCCACGATGTCATAGGAGAGGCGGAAGCGCCACTTCTCGGCTGTGGCCGCTGAGTTGCGCACGGTGCCGTATTTGTGCTTTCCCAAGGTGGGGTCACCCTGCGTGTTGTTCTGGATCCAGCGGGCCACGTGGCTGTCCAAGGGGATACCCAGGAACCCATAGATCTCCTCGGTCTTCTTCATGGGGTTCCTGGCCAAGTCCTCGTAGCGCACCAGCATGTACTTGCCTTTGAGCCACGGGGGCCGCATGAGGCCGGTGGACACGGAGTTGGAGAAGTCCTCACACACCGTGGTCAGCTGCGTCACATCCAGGTTGTAGGGTTTCCTCCCAGTGCCGTACCAGAGCCGCCAGAGCCGGTATGTGTCGCGGAAGGTCTCACTGCGGGAAGCCAGGATGCCACGGGGGTCTCGCACCAGCTGGATGACCTTGAGGTTTAACCGGGGGTCTTCAACCAGGGCCCGCAGGTCATTAACCTCAGGCACCCTCACTGTCTTGATGGCCACGTGGCTGCGCTCACGACAGGCCTCGGCAGCTACCGTCAGGTTCAGCAGGCCGCACTTGCGCACACAGTCCCCTTCCTCCAGCACCAGGTCAGCGGAGCCTGGAGGGTCGCACACGGGGCGCGAGCACAGCACCCTGCTAGCCCCGCGGCGGAAGATCCTGTCTGTGGTGTGGTTGACGGGCGGTGGCTTGATGTAGTTCTCCAGGAAGTGGAGGTCACAGTCATAGAGGCTCCTCAGGAGGTCACGGCTGGCGCCCAGCATGACCCGCCGATCCGCGGGGCTCTTGCCCTGGGTGAAGCGGGGGATGAGCGTGTTCTGGACGTGGTAGAGGGGCTCAAACAGGTAGAAGACGTCCAGGTGCTGGTTGAAGAGCTGGCCCACGAAGGAGGAGCCACTGCGTGTGGTGGCCAGGATGAGGATGTGGGTCTTGCGGGAGAGGTTGTAGGTGAACGTGGGGCCTTCGTCACACAGCCGCTCGGCCAGCCCCGTCTCGGCCAGCCCCGGGCAGGTGTGGAAGGACTTGGCGGTGAAGGTGCGGATGGCCGTGTACTGGATGGCGATGGAGGCCAGGGCAAGGAGGAGGACAGCCTTCCAGGAACATTGCATGGCTGGGCACCTTCATGGGGCTGCTTCTCCACCTTTCGAGGTCTGCGGGCAAGAGCGGGCAGCGGTCAGGGGCAGCCGGGCTTGGGGGTCTCACATGAAAGAAGAGTTGGTCTCCAGGTGGGGGGGTCCAGGGACGCATCCCCGGCTCCCGGCCCAGTGCTCGCTCACGTACCAAAGGCCTGAGCAGCTTCTACACTAGCTTCTCTGTTCTCGGGGGAGTTACGGGGGACTGAGCCAACTGATTCCCTGAGCCTTGCTCTGCAGGGTCGAACCTACAGAACTATGTAGGGGCTTCCCATCAGGAACTCTCAGTTCCTTAGTGGGGAACTCCTGGGCAAGAAACCAGCTCCTCCAACTCCCACGCCTAGGGGATGTCTCCAGCCATTCCCCCGCCACCGCCTGTCGCCCGTGCTGGCATCTCCTGGGCCCACCTGCTTCTTCTTCCACCCTCATGAACTGACCCATGTGGTCATCTTTTCTCCATGCCCTGTTCACCCCCACCATCAGGAGGAAGGAGAGTCTATGTCAGAGGCCCCATGCACAGAGGAGCCCGGCACTCTGTGGGCCATGAGCTGCGACATCGGCTCGCCCATGCCTTCCGGGCCAGGAAAGGTGGGCAACCGTGCCAAGCATCCCCGACCTGCCGATGCAGGTGACCAGCTTACTCCAGATGAAGGCTCCTGGAGCCCCTGGGGTTTCTAAGAGTCACCAGGCCCAGATCAGAGACAAGTCCAGGCGCTGCTGAGAAATACCCCTTCCCCGGCCCCGGTGTCCTCCCGGGTTTGTTCCCGGCTGGCTGCAGGGGGAAGAGGTCCAGGCCGTGGAGCAGGTGACCCCATGACAGCAGAGCGACTGACCCCTCCACCTCAGCCAGTCCTCAAGGGCCTCAACCCTTAGGCCCTTGGCCCCTTTTGTCCACAGGGTGAGCTCGGGGACCCACCTGCTACCCAGCGATGGCCCCAGAGAACCAGGCAGGACAGAGAGAAGAGGAAAGGCTGGAACAGAAGGAGCACCCCAAAGGAAGCATGGGGGATGAGGGGGGCCCCCGGGAGAGCTGGGTGTGCCTGGGGTTCAGGGCAAGGAGCCAACCTGAGCATCCAGAAGTGCCCAAAGAGAGGTCAGCTCAGCTACCAGGCCCTGGCGCAGGCCCAGGGCTGCTCTAAGAGCAAATGCAGGGAGGGATCCACCACTCACCAAAGAGGGGATGCTCCACGCTGGGGAGTCCACAGCCACCAGGTCTCCTGCACGGCAGCCCTGTGGCCAGCAGACTGCAGGGAGATGGGGGAGGGGGCTGAAAAAGGGGTCGGGCTCCCGTACCTCCCTCCTGACCCCGGCTCTCCTGCATCCTGGGCCCTACTGGCTGCCCCCAGGGCTGGGTGAGGAGGGCCCTGCCTGCTCTCCCACATCTGTCACCGACTCAGGGCTCCAAGTAGCCCAGCACCAGCTCTGATCCCTGCGTCCAGCCCTCTGAGTCCCGGGCTCCATCCCACCCCCTCCACCCATCTGCCCCGCCCACCCACCCACACCCTCCTAACAAGCCATAGTCCCTCTGCTCACACCAGAACCCAGTGAGCAAAGAGCTGGCAAGCCTGCACCCCCAGCTGGCCAAGAGTTGGTGCCCCACATGAGCACACACCCTAGGGAGGCAACCCCCCCCACACACACACCCACCACCCACGGGAACTGAAAAGAAATCCACTGGCCACAGACAGCCCCAGGCCTAGCTAGGTCTGGTCATTCAGCTCTAGTGACCAGGCTGACCCAGCCAGCCACAGCGCTCAGCCTCCAGCAACGGAACAGTGCCAGAGCCAAACTTATCCCCAGAAGTGGGCCGGCACACAACCCCAGCAGGTTCTGCATTTCAAATCAATAGAATAGCCTGAGCTTTCAAAATTCTACTAGTTCAGTGACTACCCAGGAGGTAAAATCAACAAGGGCAAGGGGTCTCACCTCACATGTCCAGGTGGAAACGGCAGCTCAGTCGCAACAGCTGAGACACCGAGACCCACGGGAAGGGACAGCTGGGGCCGGAGGTTCTTCTTCCAGCCACGCCAGAGAGAGAAAGTCTACCTGAAACTCAAAGCAAGAGTGGACCAGGGAGCATCCCTGACCTTCACGGTCTCCACGGATTCAGAGTTAAAACACCAAGAATCATAGCGTTATTTTGGTTAGCATCCACTGAGTGCGGCCTAAGTGCTTTACTGAGGAGCTCATTTATTCGTCCCAAGCACTTCATGTGGAAGCCAGTATAAGCTCCATTTCACAGGCGGGAAAGCTGAGGCGCAGAGATAAAGTGCCCTGCCTGCACTCACATGCCTGGCTTAGTCCACATCCAGCGGGGTTTCCGGAGCCAACACTCATTCCCCTCAAAGATTTGACTTTCTGTTCCTCCAGGTATGTACTTGGCCTTCAAGCATGCATTCAATTAACGTCGTCCCTAGCCCATTTGTGAACTGGTGTGAGGGGCTGGGCATTAGAAGGGGGAAGACAGGTGATTTCCAAGACACAGCATATTCCTTCCCTTTGCTGTCTGGTCTTGTTATTCAGTTGGCTCATGACTGAGGGACTGAACCCACGTGCTTTGTGAACTGTCTCCCCTCATTATGCTATTTCGTAAGACTCCTTGGGGGGTGTGGCAAAGGGGTCTTCATGTCCCAGTCTTGCAGCCAGCAACTCCTGGCTCTGCTCACCCGACTCTCAACACATTTTTCCTTACAACCCCCCTGTGGGAGGTCAGGGCCCTCACCCCCGCTGTTCAGATGGGGGAACTGAGCCTCAAAGACTAAGCATGCACGTGCAAGAAAATAAAAAGTAGCAGAGACTGACATCCCTCTGGGTCAGACTCACAGGCCAGTGCTCTGGCCCCTTCACCACCAGCTTAGGGAGAAGCACAAAGGCGGGGCTGAGATGGCAACAGGCCAGCTGAGGCTCCGAGACCTAGGACTCCTGTTTTAAGTATGAAACTCTGCTTAGTACCTTTAGAAAACAGTGCCATGTTACCAAGTGGCACTGAATAAGCGAAGGGCACAGTCTAGATTCTTGGGGACACCCCTGACCACCCCCCATCTGACCCCTGCTTCACCCTGCGGCAGCAGAGGCTGCTGGGCTGGATGAGGCCCCCAGAGAGAACAGCCGCCCTGCTTCCCGTGTCACTCCCCTGCGGAGTGCAGGCCTGCCCTCCCCAAGTGCCCCGAGACGAACACGAACACCTTTGAAGAACAGGTAGGAAATGCCATCAGTAATGGTGCTAGCTAGTATTTCAGGGCCCTAGTCTTCAGTTGCAACGCCATTTGTACCTGCTTCGTACTTTTTCACCATGTCTGTCAGCTGCCCAGCATGAGACAGGCACTACAGACAAAGTGGCACGAAGGAAGGGGCGCACAGACTGGGCATTCCCGATGTTTCTCCCGGGCGTGCACTCCCTTCACAGGCTTCGGCTCATCCTGCCCTCGTGCCAGCCCCAGAAGACTGATGCTGTCGTATCCCCATTTTACAGGTAAGGAGGCTGAGGCTCTGCCAGGTGAGCTAAATTTCCCAAGTTCACACCTGTAGTAAGGGGCAGAGCCAGGATTCCAGCCCAGGGGCTGTGCTCTGGAGTCCATGAGCAAATCCTCCTCCCTCATCCCTATTCCACTCACATTCCTCCCCCTTTGGTCCTCACCAAGACAAGAAACGGAACGCTTAAAGAGCCTTCATTTAACTATAGGATTCTGGTTCTAAAAACAGACTAAAGAGGAGCATGCTGCAGGGAGGGGGCCAGTTCAGTTTCTTCCCTCCAGTTTCCCTCCCCACCCCCACCCAGAGAAACTTAAGGCAGGATTGGAAGCTGCTGCCTGTGCTAATGAATCGGAAGTAACTGAAGCATTTGATGTTATAAATCCCTACAAAAGTGGGGCTCGGGTTCCTAAGGTAGGCGCAGCTTGGGTACCACAGAAGGGAGTGTGTTCCTGGCCATCCTCTGCCCCCTGAAAGGGCAAAGCTGGGGCATGGGAATGGGAGGATGGAGGACATCAGGTCCTCCCAGAAATGTCCCCGCTGTCCTGCCAGCCTGGCAGAGCCGGGGCCAGGGCTGGCCAAGCCTTCTTGGTATGCTAGAGGCATGTGCCCTGAAAACCAGAGGCCCTGAGGCCAGGTCCCATTGTTCCCAGGGGAGCTTTGGTCACTGTAAGGGACTTCTCAATGCCCTCGACCTCCTCCCAGCTAGACTGTGAGTCCCAAGTCCCCTCCCTGAGCTTCTAGCAGCCTCTGACAGTGGCTGTCCTCCACCTCCGGTTAGTTGAAAACCAGGCCAATCTGAGGCCCAGATCTGTAACTTCTGTTGGAAGGCCGGGGACTTGGTAAACTCCCACTCACAACAGAAAGCTCAGATTTCAGTGTCAGCCACATTAATATTAAGGCACAGACTACCACATGGGGAGGGGGATGGGACACCTTCACATTGGAGAACTATAATTTAGAGCTAAGAGCTCAAGCCGTGGAACCACACCCACTTGGATGTCACTTAGCAGGTGTGTGCACCTGGGTGACTCACAGTCTCTGAGCCTCCGTTTCCCCATATGTAAGGTGGGTATATCATAGAATTGAAGGACTTAACGCATTTAGTCAATACCAGGCATAGAATACGGCACAACCTCATATTTGAGACACGGGCTCTGACACTGGCCCCATTGATGGCCAGATTTCTTAATCTCTCCTGGCCTCTGTTTTTTCACCTGAAAAATGGAGATAATTTTAAGAAGGCTGTTGTGAGGACTAATGCGTTAATAGTGTCTAGCATAGAGTAAGCAATGAGTGTAACCTACTGTTACTATCATTAAATGTATTACTTGCTCTTTTGTCTCGGGAAGACGCCTCAGAACAAATCATTACTGGCTCTGGCACACACTCTCCCTCTCCATTGTGCCCAGACCTCTGCCCTGCTGGCCTCTGCCCGCTGCCCCTTCTTCCCCGGCTCCTCTCCCAACCAGGCAACTTTCTCATGCTGAGCTACCGCAGTGGCTTTCCCGCTGCCCTCTAGTGGCCATATGCTGTAGTGCAGCCTCTTAGCCCTGCGTCTCTGCTATGTTCAGAATTCCTGGCTGGTCGGTGGCTGCTGAATGTGAAGATGCAGCCAACGGGAGATGATGGTGCAGGATGCAGTGAGGTGTGATGATTACATGCCCACCCTGGCTGTGGCCTCTGCTCTGTGCACCCCCTCTTCCTTATCCACACACCACGAGGCAAGCAGCAACAGGCAGCCAAACCTCATCCTGAGGGCCTCTCCTCCCGGGTTCTCATTCTGTCCTGGCAGGGGAAGGAACACTGAACTGAATGTCACAGGCAGGAGCAGCCCACAGCTTCTGTCTTTCCCTGGCTTGATGATCTTGGACTCACCCCCTGGCTCTCTGTGCCTCGGTTTTTCCATAGACCCAGCCTCTAAGGGCCTCCCAGGTCTGACTACAGGGCAGCGGCGGGGCGGGGGGGTGCGGGTTCTGATCCCAGGAAGGCCCCATACTCCACTCTCAGAGTCAGGGCCACTCTCTCGGGAGGTGGGGGGAGGCCCCTTCTTTGGGAGTGGGAAGGCCCCAGTCATCTTTCGAGAAGATACCAGGGATGGCAGTTCTGCCCCCACCTCGGCCTGATCCCTGGCTGACCCAGTGGAGCCCAAGAAACAAGGAGCTGTGCCCTCTGCTGAGTCAGCGCCACCTGCCCCCAACCTCGTCCCTCCCCCTTCTATGAAATCCCATGCAACCCAGAGCTGTGACTCTGCCTTTTCTGGGCCACAGACCCTTTGGGGAGGCACAGTCCCTCCTCCCAGAAAGATCCCTTTGTGCTCCCAATTTTACACACACAATTGGAGAGGTTAAGCCTCTAGGGAAAAGAATGGGCACCCATGGGTGGACTTTAGGAGGTCCAGGAACCTACTAGTAGCACTCTCCCAACCCCAGGATTTTCTTTTCAATTAACGCTATCAGAGAAGGTTCCTCAGACATCACCCAAGATATATTATTAAGTAAAAAAGCTAGGGCCAGAAAACACACGCGCAGCAGTATACTGCCATTTCTGATCTGGGAACAGGGATGTGTGTTATGTGTGCACAAACAACCACTGAAAGAACCTGCGCTGAACCAGTAACTGTAGAAGCCCCAGCAGGGGAGCTAGGAGATGGGGATGCAAGGAAGGCACAGCTTACACAGAGCTTTTTGGTTCAGTTTGAATTTATTAACTTTTGGGGACAGAGTGAAGCCACCCATGCAAGAACTGGAAGACTAATGACAGGGTGGGGCCCCCAAAATCAGCACTGGCACCTCACTGCGCCAACGATTCTGTCCCCAGGGCACTGCCAGCCAGCTCTCTCCTCCCCCATTTCCACAGTACCAGGGTCAAAGTCACATCCTTTCCACCAGAATGGGGCTCTGTCTGCTCACGCAGGCCACTGAACCTGAGGACAGCAGTCAGCTGGGGCTGCTGAAAAAGCGCGAGACCTCAAAGGGGACCCGGGACTGTGGGGGCAGCAGGGGCCTCAATTGGGGAAACGCCTGCACTCCCGCTTTTCTCCCCAAAAACAGTTTGTGAAGTTCTAGGGACATAGGGAGAGCAAAGGGAAAAAAAAAAAACCTGAATATCATATTTCTAACCAGACCCAGGAGCAAGCATGGAGGGGCCCCAAGGCTCTGGGGCCCTAGGAACTGGAGCAAGGGGCAGGGGAAACTGAACAGGGAGGGAGGATTTGGCAAAGAGGCCTCCGGGATGGAGACTGCAGAAAGGAAATGCTTAATCCCTACAACTGCAGTGGCCAGCACTAATCCACCATAGATGTTTGTTTAGTTCAGGCTAAAACATGTAAAACAGCAAGGTCTTTTCTTCCTAAAAAAAAAAAAAAAAAAAAAAAAATGTGGTAATGAAATGAGGCAGGCGGAAAACAAGGATATGAAAGTCTGAAAGAACTAGAAGCCAGGTCAGTGTACAAGCACCAAGTCACTTCTGGGCTATACATATAGGTCAGAGCTACCTGGCAGCCAATGGGAAAAGGGAAACATTTCATGTATGTGTTTCATAGGATCCATAAGATGAAGATTAAAGCATCTCCT